TGAACAAAACCGTTACAGAAGGTGCTTGGTCACTCTCGACCCTCTTATGGGACCCAGGGCCCAGGGCCGTTAGACTACGCAGGCCACTTGCACGGGCTCGGATCGCGGTCTGAACGCTGGAAAGCCGTCGCGGTCTGAGCTGGGAGAGTTGTTCTTTTCCTTTGAGTAGGGCAAAGATGACCGCGCGTCGCGCATTGCAAGGCGAGGCGAGCGAAGTTAGGTGACCCATTGAATAATAATAGTAATAATAATAACAACAAAACGATTAGTATTAATAATAACAGTAATGGTGATTAACAGGAATAACCATTATAATAATATAGCATAGCGATATTAGTAACAATAAGATGAAGGATGATAGTAGGAATAAGCATTGTAATAGTATGAATAAGCAGTTTAATCATAATAGTTACAATACCAGTAATATTAATACGTAGCACCCCTCAGTTGCGGATAACAGTGAGGGGGCGTCGGGGACGTCAGCCGTCTGCGAGGCTCTGAAGAAGCCTGCCGCAGGCTCCTAAGTTCTCGTTGAAGCACTGTGGGTGGGTCGCGGGTGGGTCGCGGTTGGGTCGCGGTTGGGTCGCGGGGGGGACGACGACAACAAACAACAACAGTTGCAGCAGGAACAGCAACAACAATCCGCACCGCAGAACCTCACTTCAGCCACGCGCCCAGGGACGAAGAATGACCGTTCGGCCCCGTTACTCTGAGTATATAAGATTATCCGCACAACAAAACTCAAGACGAACAAATGTCCCGTTGAAGGGGTTCAGAGTCCAGAGCTCTTCGGCCAGAAGGTAATGTGGGGGAACTAAGCGTGGGGCAAAGAAAGGTGCGCCTTTCCAGCACAAATGTGGGGCCGGGAGAGCAGTTTGGCCTGGAGGCCCATTCAGGGCCGTTCTCCTGCGGTCCACGCTGCGAACAATGAATGGCCACGACGCGGGGGGCACCTGGGGAGAGGTGGGGCGGGCGAGGGGGGGCGGCCTGCTCTGTGTCTTGGAAGGCAGGAGGGATTCTAGGACGCCCCCTGCTTTCGTTGAACGGAAAGAGCGCCTTCGCTGGGCGTTTGAGCGATTGGGGCGGGGAAAGGCGGTCCTCTGAGAGGCGGGGGGGCTGTCTATGTCGGAATGGCGCCATACCTTCCTTCTCTCCGCTTCATCTCTATGAGTTCGCGCAGGTTCTCCCCATGAGGGGCAGTATGTTCCAGGACCAAATAACACTCCTTTGTATGTCGTCCACCAGCATCGTCGAGTTCACCCGAAGGCGCAACGCCGGAGAGAGCCGAACGAGCACCATTGATGTTTCAACGTGTTCAGAAGTCGGCTTCAGAGGTGCCGTCGTTAAGTTCATCGAGGAGCTAGCCGAGACAAGGCGGGGGAGTTCAAAGACGGAGCACGACATCCCCGATTACAGAACCATGCCCACCACGAGCACAAGTCTGCAATGAAGAATGCCCGCAGAGTGGAAGCGATGTCTGCCGCCAGCCGATTAGACGCAGCAGACGCTGCAACGGAAAGTGTTGAGCGGGGCGGTGTCCGAGTAAATGCAAGTGCGCGAACAAGGGTTCAGAACCGTCATGGGGCGATTGCCCAAGGGGCGACGACGTTTTGGTATGGTATCCCGCATGCTCTCCCCGCATGACCGTATGCTCTCCCGCGTGGTATCCAATATGTTGTCCAGTATTTCTCCAGTGTGGTATCCCGTAAGTATGTTATCCAATGGCGTCCGTGTAGTATTCCTCTGGTATCCCGCATGGCTTCCCGTATCGTCCCCGCCATGCTCTCCCGTATGGTTTCCCGTATGGTGTCCCGTATGATCTCCCGTCTATTCGCGCGTATGGTCTCCCGCATGTGCAGTATGATAAAATGTTAGTCGTAGTATTAGTATTACCATTCGTGGCATTCTGAATTATATTCGTAATTTCTGTAATGCAACCAGGTATAATGGCATGAACATCATCATCAGTACGACTAGTAGTATGAATAGTATCACGTTGGTCGGAGTAATGGCGTTATGCTTATACTTCGTAGTACTCGTATTCTTGGTGCTTCGGTAGTTCACCATTGTTTCATTATGCAGTATTGGTTTTATGCGCAGTATTATTATTGTGGCTATGATCATGATGATGTTTCGAATTCTCATTACTTTTTGTAGTGTTATTTATCATTAATATTGTTATTACATCCAGAGGCCTTCGGCCCATCCCGTCTCCGTTCTTGGTTCGTGAGTCCGAGGCCTTTTGGATGGTCGTTGGGGTCTCGTCGAGGCCTCTCGGGTGCCTCTTGGAGACAGTTTTGGAGCTTCTGGGGGGCTGTTCGGGGGCCTCTCGGGGCCTCTGTTGGGCCTCTCGGGGCCGCGTGGCGGCCTCTTGGGGGGGCCGTGGGGCCCCCTGGGCTGGGCGTCTCTTTAGGACGGAAGGCTCGGATTTTCGGTTCGTGCTCCCCCCCCTTGGAGCCTTCTTGAGCGCCTTCTGGACAGTCTTACGGCAATGTTTGGGCTGTTTGGGGGCCTTCTTGGGGGCCTTTGGGGATGTCTTGTGGCGGTCTTGGGGGATGTTTGGGACGCTTAGAAAGGTCGGAACCTAGAAAAGTGGAGAGCCCTCAAAAGATAGAACCACTTTCTAGGGAAGTCAATGACTTTGGCCTCTCGGGGTCATCTTGGGAAGCTGCTTGGGCCGTTTTGGGGCCATCTTGGGCGTCTTGGACCGATCCTGCAGCGATTCCCGGCCCCCTTGGACCGTCTGGGCGGCCTCTTGGGGCCCTTTTGGCGCGTCTTGGGGCCCTCTGCAGGCGAAAAGGTCACGCGACAAGACGCCAGGAGCCCCAGGGGGCCACGCGGCGCTCCCCGAGAGATGTGGCAATCGTTGGTTTGGGCTCTTGCAAGAATCCTCGGGGTGGGGGGCTGAGGCCCCAGGGCTCCAACAAGGGACCTGAGGACACTCCAGCTCCTGCCTGAAGGGAACGGAGGCGGATAGGCATGTTGTTCACGGGCTTCTGCCGCTAGGGTGAACTTTTACGAATACGGGGCTGCCCGAAGTCCCCACACCACGGCCAATGCGTCATTCAGAATATATGTTGTCACGATCCCGCGGTTGGTGAGACGTTGGGTGTTTCTTGCCTCATCCATATTCATATAGTTTTTCTCGATTCCCGCGTTTCCCCCCTCATCCTTCCCCCCCGTCCCCGTGCACAGTTATTCAAGAAGGATGTCCCTCTCTCCCATGATTCATCATTTGCGCGCCCACGTAACGATCGTCCCGAGCGGGCTTTCGGTGTGGCCTTGTCCCAATCCGAACGCATTCGTTCTCTTAAACGTGGCACACCCGCTGCAGCGCTTGCCATCGTTACAATCTTCAGAGAGCCTCCGTCCAGCGGAACAACGCTCTCGCGCAGCATTGATCGTTCTGTTTCATTTTTGCATCAGTGAACGTGGTGCTCCCGGTGCGGGGTTTGCCAATTTCACCAAGTTACGTCGATATGATTTCCAAGGTAACGTCGTTCGGGTTGCCATCAGCAACAGTGGTGTTATTGTTGCTGCGCGTGCCACGTGTCTTGATATCCACAGAATCGCTCTCGCCGCAGCGATGGCTCCATTCTTGAATTAGCAAGACTGCTGCCCATAAAAAACGCTCCACGGAACGACGAGCTCGACGCGGCGTTGACCGCCCCCTTTGCCTCCGCATGTGTGGTTTTGTATCTTCTCGGGATGGCTACTGCGTGCGGGATATATCGTAGGGATCACTGATTTCTTTGACAGCCGACTCTGCGAGTACAGGGGGGAGTCAACACAATGGGTTGGGCTTGGGAGGGAGGTTTAGGGCGTCAGATGCAGCGCGAGCGTACCCAGCTTCTCGTGGTCCCCCTCGTCTCCTCCACCATACTCCCGATCCCTCCCCTCCCCTCTGGCGGTGATGGCTGCACCAGTGTCCCTCCCCCATCCTCGGGGGGAGGCGTGCTCTGACGGGGAGGCTCGGGGGCCACGTCTACAACAGGGCCGCGGTGCCCTTGCTGAGGTGGTCGCGGGTCTTCTCGGGCACTTGTGCTCTCATTGAGCAGAGCGCGAGCTAAAAGGTGATGTGACGATTTCGTCGACCATTTTCGATGTGATTCCGCTTCGCTGCAAGGGCGGAATTAATATAGAACGCAGGAGCACAGCAACGAAACGGAAACGGAAAGTATTGTTCAGCTCGCGCCTTGTGCGTGACCCCCAGGGTCAGCGAAACAGTCCAGTGCAGCTCCCCCCTCCTTCCCCGCCGCCCCAAATCCCGATCCCTCCCCCCCCTCCCCTCCGCTTCCCCGCGCCGGCTCCCCCCGCTGGCTGGGGCGCGCCCGCCCAGGCACTGCCGCAGCGAGGCCAGCAGGCGGCCGGCGCCCGATGCGCGGGCGGGCCTCTCCTCCTTCCGGCGTCGTCGTCGTCGTCGTCGTCGTCGCCTCGGGGCCCACGAGGCCGCCCTCTCTCCCGTGCACGCCTGGCGCATTGGGAGCTCGGCGGCCGCCAGTCAGTGCGTTGGCTCCTCCCCGTCTGGACACCGGACGTGTCGGCAGGGCGGGCCGGGCGTTTAGCCTGAGGCGTCCTCCCCGCGTGTGGCCCTAGGGCTTGGAAGTTCCAGTGGTTGCACGGATGACAGGGGGTTGCTTTCAAAAGGTGGTTCTCGCCCCTAAGCGCCGCGCGCATTCGTCGAACAGTTGTACGGATGGAGCACAGGTCGTTTTTCAAACGCTGTCTCGTTCTAGCGCCGCGCACATTCGTCGGAGAAGTTCCCGTCAGTCAGGGATGGATGGCGGTTCCTTTTCAAAATGCGGTCCTCGCCTCAGCGCCTTGCACATTCGATGTTTGAAACGTGCGCCAGCTACACGGATGGAGGATTTGCGTCGATGTTGCGTACATTCGTTTTTTTACATATTCCAATTATTATAACAGCATGGAGGGGACCGTGTTCAGTATATCTTCTTCAATGCGCTTTACGTACACATTCATTATCAGACAGATGTTTGTAATAGTGCCGCAGCTGCACGGATGGATAGTGGCTCGTTTTCAAGTTTTGAAGTCGGCGTTCTCTCGCCAGAGTTCATTGGTTGATTAGGCTCACGCGGCTTTATGATCATACCTCGTCGCCTTGAAGCTAGAATCGTGCCTGCTCCTTCTCAAAACGGGGCTCTCGCATGAATTGCAGAACCACGCAGCGCTCGCCTCTCAAGAAAATTCTTGTAAGGGGCCTATGAGGAGGGGACTTGGGCGTTTTCTTGCATCGTTCATGCATCCTGGGTTTGCTCTTGTCCTCCTCCTCCTCCTGTTACTCCTCCCGCTCCTCCGCCTCCTGGTAACTGACAGCTGAGGGCTGTTTCGTCAGTTGACTGATGACACGTTCACATTCCCACCCCAGCCTTCGCATGGCAAGGGAGGGTTTGAAGAAGCATTGGAAACTCTAGAGCATGAGTGGGATTTGATTTTTGTTGGCTTCACTCTGCGAGAATATGGAGAACGCATTGCTAATGCTTTATGGGTGGACCAGTTTTCTTTGTTAGTCTGGAGCTTGGGACAGTTCGACTTCATGGTCAAAGTTCTGACTGCTCTTCCTTACTCTCGTTTCCAATCGGCTTGGAAGCCGAATTCTTTAGAGATCTTGTTGGACAAGGTGCAGCATAATTCTGGGAATTACCTTGTACATTCCGAAGCTGGGAGCCTGAAATACACAGTCACGCAGTCGATGGTTGCCCAGGGAGGCATCCTCGACACGGCTGCCCGGGGCATGCGCTCATGAGGTACCGGCTCGCCAAAGGGGAGAAGTGCGTCTACGCCCACGGCATTTGGCAAAGTTGAAGTTGGAGTCGTTTGCGGGCGCCCCCCGACAGTGTGCTACATGTTTGTCCTCTGTGTGTCACTGGTCTGCATGTTGCTGGAGGCGTATCGCTGGGAACGGCGCATGTTCGTCAAGATGCTCCGATGGAGGCGACGGGCCGGTGAAGGCAAGCATGAATATGATCATCGCGTGGTTTTGAAATTGAATGAATGGCTCGTCCGGTTCAAGTATAAGCCGATACCCGCGCACATTTTGGAGCGCCTCCACAACCACCTATGGCATGTGAAGACAGTCGCGGTCGCTCTCAAAGCAGTCCGGGTGGACCGAGATGTTTTGCAAGTTTCGGTTCGTTGATTATCAAAGTTGGTGGCTCCATTGGTGCAGCAGGTTAGGTGGTGCCGAGGACATGGTTTCTTGGCGCATGGGTGCTCGTCAGTTCGCCATCGAGGCGCGCAAGGAGATGAAGTTGCCGCAAGGGAAATAGGAGCCCTGCGTCGTCGACCATCAGGTTGTCAGCTCCTTCGCGAGCATCGAGACCAAGGTGTCATCCGATTTTGACCAGCATGCGGTTGACCGCATTCGTAGTAGTTTACGGGCGTCGTGCGACAAGACGTTTTGGTACAATGATGGGTATTTGCCAGTTGTGGACCGACACCCGCGCGAGTTCAATTCGCCGCCAGATGTTGTCCGAAATTGGATGTTGGACGATACGACTGGTTACGATGAGATCGAGCGTGGTTCTTTCGTCGAGTTTCTCCGTTACAGGTGTTGTGGTGCATTGCGATGGGGGCTACAGAGATGGACTAGGAGCTGCATCTGTTGTCATGCGCAACGTCGATCCGGCAACCAACGTCGTGGAGCGTTTTGGGTACCACGGGACTTTTCTCTCCACGGCGAGAGTTTTCTGCCGTTGGCAACGCGATTGGGTTCGTGAGTGGCGTGCGTGGCAATCTTCAGCAGACACAAGCCATACTCTTGAGATTACGTTGACAGCAGCGTGTCAGTTCTTTGGCGACTCGACGGGGAAGCTTTCCGCAACAAAGAGGTTGGAATACTCATTCTTACTAGGTTGCAGATCCTAGAAGAGGGGGTAGGCAAGGGGAACGACAACACGGCGGGACGACGCAGGGATGTTGCGACCAGCGGGCGAGGAGGGAGAAGGGGGGAAAGGTCAGAGGAGCCTTACGTGCGGGGGCGGGGAGGCAGTCCAGAGGGAGGAGGAACACTGTTCGGGGTCCATTGAGCTGCGCGGCAGGTGCGAGCCCGAAAAAGTGGGTGGGCTACGGCAGCTGGGCGTCGCGCCGTGGGGGGCGATGAATAGAGGGGCATCGAAGGCTGCAGAAAAAAGGGGCCGTCCAGGGCCCAGGAAAGAGTCCTCTATGGCCCAAGAGGGGGCCTGAGGACCCGAGAAGTGCACTTTTCGTCCCCCCCATGTACCGCCCCCCGCCCCCCCCTAAGCGACGCCCAAGGCACTGCAGGGTGGAAGAAGGTGGCGTTCGGAGTCGGTGAGGAGGGACCTTGCAGGGCAGACGGCAGGCGAGGTGGGGGTGGCTGCAAGAGGCGGCAGCGGTGCGCGGTCCAGCAGAAGACGGTGACTTCGCGCGTGTGGAGTCTCACCGAGCGCGCTCCGTTACTCGCAAAGTGCCTACCCGCAAACGTCTGAGAAAAGACAATTGCGGATCCAGACCATTTGCGAGTAGTTTTTTGTTGCGAGTAGTGGAACGCACGCGCCTGGAGAGGGAGGGGGAAATGCGAAGGGAGCCAGTTTACATGAACGTTTCTAGTCAGCCGGCCGGATCGGCCAAGACCCCATTGGGATCTCTGGAAGGGCTTAGCAGCAACGAGTCTAGCACGCCACCAGTACCCTTCGCTACAATTAAAAAGAGGGCGGCGGATTACGGAAAGTGCGCTTGGCGTGCGATCCGTTAGTCGGAGCGTCGAGGTTGTTGTTGTGTTTGAAGTTGATGGGTTTGGCATGGGTAACGGAAGGGGTCTAGTAGCCAAGGATGGTTGTTTAGTTGGGGGCGCGTTCTTGATATGCAGTGTGTTGTGGTCGTTCTTGGAAAGTCTCAAGACGGCCCAACATAGCCCAACAAGATGTCTCCAACACGCGGCACTTCCGCCCCAAATCGCGATCTCGCTAAGGACATCCTGACACACACATGAAATGGTGTCGGCATCGCTCTTGCCCAACATGGCGATTTCGCTTGGGACATGTTCACTCAAAACGAGATGGTCGACATTGTTGTGGTCTCGGTGTTGGCCAGACTTGCGATTGCGTGAATTACGTCTTCGACAAACGACATGGTGTCGACATCGTGTTGGTATCCCTCTTGGAAGGCCTCAAAACGATCCAACAGAGACCAGCATGACGGACTAAGAGAGCCCTCATGTTGCCCAAGTTGGTTCCCATTGGGCCCAAAACGGTCCAAGGCAGTTTCCAACATGGCGATTTCGCAAGGGACACCTTCAATTGTTGAGATGTTGTCAGCCTCGTAGCATCGCTCTTGAAAGGCCTAAAGACGGCCTAACAGAGCCCTGCATTATGTCTCCACTATCATCTGGTGATGTTATTGCCAGCGCAACGCCAGCGCTACTACTAAGTAGTGGCCTGTCCTGCGTGAGTACTAGGCTTAATGAGTTATGACAAAACTCCAGAATGGCGGACAACCTTGTGCTCCCCACCGCTCAGCGAAGAGATGTTTGCGCACGGAGTCGCAGGACAAGCCGTTGCCACCGTCACCAAAAGCAACGCCACCACTAATCGTCATCATCCTCGTCATCGTCGTCGTCCTCGTAATCATATGGCCCGAAAGGGCCCGAAGGCGGCGCAGTCAGCATAAGCCAGATTAGCCCTGGCTTGCTCTGCGCCACTTGGCCGCTGACGCCGAGCGCAGATGGACCGTCCAAACGGGGAAAACGCTACATTCGGACAACGGGCGGCCCAAACGGGGAAAACACATGGTTTTGGAAAGCGGGCGGTTCAAACGGGGACAACACGACACCCAGATAGTGGAAAGTCCAAATGGGAAAGCGCACTGTTCTGGAAAGCGGGCGGTCCAAATTTGGAAAACATTGTGTTTCTGTACGTTCGTTGTGTGACAGTTGCGAGCACAGATGGACGGTCCAAGTTGGGAAAATGCGACATTCCGACAGCGGGCAGCCCCAATTGGGAAACCACGTGGTTCTAGGTAGTGGGCGGTCTAAACGAGGAGAACACGACATTCGGACAACGGACGGTCCAAGCGGTCCGAGAGCCCTTCGAGTTTGCCGAAATCGCGATTCCGCTAGGCATGGCCTTACAAATTATCCTGGCGAAGGACCCAACCATATGCAATTGTGAATACTGCAATTGTGAATATCTTCTCGGTGGAGCCCCCTACGGGGCCACGAAACGTACGAGGGGTGTGCCGAAATGGGTGTGCGGGACGCATGCGGGCACACCCATTGGGGCCTTCGGTGGCGCTCCCTATGGGGCCACGAAACGTGTGAGAGGTGTGCCGAAATGGGTGTGCGGGACGCATGCGGGCACACCCACTGGGACCTTCGGCTGAGCTCCCTATGGGGCCACGGAACGTGTGAGGGGTGTGCCGAAATGGGTGTGGCTGGCGCATGCGGGCGCGGGCATTGGGGCCTTCGGTGGAGCTCCCTATGGAGCCACGAACCGTGTGAGGGGTGTGCCGAAATGGGTGTGGTTGACGCATGCGGGCGCGGGCACTGGGGCCTTCGGTGGAGCTCCCTATGAAAACACGAAACGTGTGAGGGTGTGTGCCGAGATGGGTGTGGGTGACGCATGCGGGCGCGGGCACTGGGGCCTTCGGTGGAGCTCCCTACGGGGCCACGAAACGTGTGAGGGGTGTGCCGAATTGGGTGTGGGTGACGCATGTGGGCGCGGGCACTGGGGCCTTCGGTGGAGCTCCCTAAGCCACGAAACGTGTGAGGGGTGTGCCGAAATGTGTGTGGGTGACGCATGCGGGCGCGGGCACTTGGGCCTTCGGTGGAGCTCCTTATGCAGCCACGAAACGTGTGCGGGGTGTGCCGAAATGTGTGTGGGTGACGCATGCGGGCGCGGGCACTGGGGCCTTCGGTGGAGCTCCCTATGGAGCCACGAAACGTGTGAGGGGTGTGCCGAAATGGGTGTGGCTGACGCATGCGGGCGCGGGCACTGGGGCCTTCGGTGGAGCTCCCTATGGAGCCACGAAACGTGTGAGGGGTGTGCCGAAACGTGCATGCAGGGGTGTGCCGAAATGGGTGTGGGTGACGCATGCGGGCGCGGGCACTGGGGCCTTCGGTGGAGCTCCCTATGGAGCCACGAAACGTGTGAGGGGTGTGCCGAAATGGGTGTGGGTGACGCATGCGGGCGCGGGCACTGGGGCCTTCGGTGGAGCTCCCTATGGAGCCACGAAACGTGTGAGGGGTGTGCCGAAATGGGTGTGGGTGACGCATGCGGCGCGGGCACTGGGGCCTTCGGTGGAGCTCCCTATGGAGCCACGAAACGTGTGAGGGGTGTGCCGAAATGGGTGTGGGTGACGCATGCGGGCGCGGGCACTGGGGCCTTCGGTGGAGCTCCCTATGGAGCCACGAAACGTGTGAGGGGTGTGCCGAAATGGGTGTGGGTGACGCATGCGGGCGCGGGCACTGGGGCCTTCGGTGGAGCTCCCTATGGAGCCACGAAACGTGTGAGGGGTGTGCCGAAATGGGTGTGGGTGACGCATGCGGCGCGGGCACTGGGGCCTTCGGTGGAGCTCCCTATGGAGCCACGAAACGTGTGAGGGGTGTGCCGAAATGGGTGTGGGTGACGCATGCGGCGCGGGCACTGGGGCCTTCGGTGGAGCTCCCTATGGAGCCACGAAACGTGTGAGGGGTGTGCCGAAATGGGTGTGGGTGACGCATGCGGGCGCGGGCACTGGGGCCTTCGGTGGAGCTCCCTATGGAGCCACGAAACGTGTGAGGGGTGTGCCGAAATGGGTGTGGGTGACGCATGCGGGCGCGGGCACTGGGGCCTTCGGTGGAGCTCCCTATGGAGCCACGAAGCGTGTGAGGGGTGTGCCGAAATGGGTGTGGGTGACGCATGCGGGCGCGGGCACTGGGGCCTTCGGTGGAGCTCCCTATGGAGCCACGAAGCGTGTGAGGGGTGTGCCGAAATGCGTGTGGGTGACGCATGCGGGCGCGGGCCTTCGGTGGAGCTCCCTATGGATCCACGAAGCGTGTGAGGGGTGTGCCGAAATGGGCGTGGGTGACGCATGCGGGCGCGGGCACTGGGGCCTTCGGTGGAGCTCCCTATGGAGCCACGAAACGGTGTACTGGGTGGGTGAAGAGGAGAGGAGGAGAGGAGGGGAGGAGAGGAGAGGAGAGGAGGCGGAGGAGCAGAGGAGGAGAGGAGACGCGGGGCACCGTCTCTTCAAAACGAGGACCCAACAACACAGGTTGGTTTGGAATAATCAGTATCCAACATCGCATGTTAAAATGATGTTTCTGACATTTTCTTGAAATCTGTCTTGAAGATCCTCAAGGCGGTTCAAGTGGACTCGGAGAGCCCAAGGGTCTCGCAAGACGGCCCAAGAGAACCCAAGACCCCCCAAGAATGCAACAAGGGCGAGGGGAAGCGAGGACGTAAGGGGAGGAAGAATGGACAAGCCAGCGATCTCGCGCCATCACAGGAAAGTTGCGCCATCCGTCCCCATGCCAAGCAGGCCTAGTGGCCTTCGGCCAATCAAACCACCGTGCCAGAGGCCGTTCGGGCCGCCGTGGATCGCCGCACTGGTCTGGTTTCTCGCGCTGCGGTTTGGTCAGGCTGGTCCTGGGCGGTCGATCTGCGAAGAATCGACGTCGCCGGTCCAGGCTGGTCGGTCTTTGTGTCCAGTGAGCCTTGAGGGAAGTTCCTTGAACAGCGTTCGCGGAGCGGGGCTGCGGCAATGGCAGGCCTGTCGGGAAGTGCCGGTGGGTTGCGCGGCGGCGCCAGGCTGGTCGGTTGGGTTTCCGCATTGGGGGCGGTCGGTTTTCGGGCTGGCTTGGACCGAGTAGAGGCTGCGGATGTTTAGGCTTGGCGCCCAGAAGTGAGCTGTTTTGTCTTCCATGAGTGGCGCGCGCAGGCAGCTCCAGAGCCGCGCGCGCGACTGCCTCTCCATCGCGGCTGCGATCCACGAGGCAAGGAACCTGGCCGATTTCGAGATGGTCCCGCGTCGATGGATCAATCCAGGAGTAGGATTGGCGCTCGACGTTTTATCCATGCCCTTTCTGCTGCCTCCAACTTTGGACGCCAAGGAGTAGGGCATGGATAAACAACTTGGCTTCTTGGGGCTGGGTGTTAATCCATGTCACCACTCTGGCCCCTCCTGGGGTTGTGGCGTGAGCTGGGGCATGGATAGAGTGTCAATCGCCTACAGGAGGAGGAGGAGGAGGAGGAGGAGGAGGAGGAGGAGGAGGAGGAGGAGGAGGAGGAGGGAGGAGGAAGAGGGATGAGAGGTGACGGAGCCAGCTACAGGGAGGAGGATGAGGAGGAGGAGGAGCAGAGGAGGAGGAGTAAGTAAGAGGAGGGGGGCGGGGAAGGGAGAGGGGGTGGAGCAGGAGGATAATCAGAAGGATTCTCCCTTAGCCTCCACTGTGTTCCCCCCCATGGTCTCCCGTATATTCTCTATGTTGTTCTCCCGCCGTATGGTCCCTTTGATGTACAGCGCAGTGTAATGTTGAACGCACGATGTGTTTGCAAGTATGTTGTTTAGGGTATGTTGCTGGCATCTTGTAATGTTTCGTTCGAGTTGGGTTGTGTTTGCATGTCCGGCTCATTGCTTCTGAGTTCTGATGAGGAGCACACGTGGATGAGGCGGTGGAGGGAGAGGAGAAGAAACAGAAAGTCCGGAGGAGGAAGGAGGTGGAGAAGAGGGGAGAGCAGGCGGATGATGAGAAGGAGGAGGAGGAGGAGGGTTGGGCGCAGCAGCAGGAATAGGAAAAGGAAAGGGAACATAAGGAGGAGATCGATGATGAGGAACGTGGTCGGGAAGAGGAACGCAAGTGGAGAGATGTAGGACAGAAGAAGACAGAAGGGGGAAGGGGAGGCGGAACAGGAGAAAGAGTGGGTGGATAAGATGGTAGTACTGACAAGCAGGACTAAGTAGGATGGATGCGAGAAAGGGGAGGACGACGGGAAAGGAAAAGGGTACTGATATGAATGGGTCTAGATGTGGAGGTGTAGGGGGAGGCGAAGGATCAGGTCGATCATGAGGACGGCGATCAGGAGCACGAGGAAAATAGGAAATAGAGGTGGATGATAACGACAATCAGGACGGGGAGAACGAGAAGCATTTACGGAAGTAGGAAGACAAGGCGAGGAGGAGGATAACGTGAAGAGGATAGGGGAATGTGGAGGAGGGGAGAGAAGGTGGGCAGGAAGAGGTGGAAGCGAATTTGGAGCTGACTATGTCGAACATCGCTTTTTGTTGGCGACACGTGCTGTCATGCTGTCATCCTCGCACATCTCCACATCGCAGGCATACTGACTCAGGCATCAGAGTCCGCTCACGGTGTTCCATAATGAATATTGGTTCAGAATGTTCCCATGTGGTCGTCATTGGATGGACCAGGACCTAAGCTGTGCAAGCACTGTGTTGACGCTCCGCTCCCTCATATTCCAGGTTCCGCGTCTCAATAGGAGTCGCAGCATCTCAAGAAATTCCTCGTATATCGGTTCAGCGTCATACCAAGGAGGCCAAGATGGATGCGGGAGGCGCTGCGGTCTACCCCGACCAGTCGACAAAGCCAACACGTCCATAACGGTACCATCGAATCAACGTGGGCTCAAGCACCCACGGAAGCGGCGGTCGGCTCAGCCGAGTGTTTTGCGATTTAGTTCCGGATCCTCCCAACCAGCCCAGGATCTGCTACACGACCCCCGGCATATCATTATCTTCCTCGCTCCCCCCTCTCTCCCCCTCTCTCTCTCTCTTTCTGTTGTTATCTCTCTCGTTCGTTCTCTCTCTTTCCGTCTTTCTCACACATGTATAGATTAACATATATATATATATGTCTGTATAGATGTGTGTATAAAGATTCATGCATGCATGCATGCATGCGTGCATGGACATACATACGCACATACATGCATACATGCATAGATGCAAGCATACACATAACACGCAGGCATACATTCAGACATATGTATATATATCTATACATATATACATATACACACATGCATACAGACATGCATGCCCGCAAACATGTATACATGCATGCGTACATACATGCATGCATACATACATGCATGGATGCATACATACATGCACACATGCATGCATACATACACATGTTCATGCATACGCAGGCATACAGACACACACACACACGCACACAGACCTTCACACATGCATACAAACATACGTACAAACAAGCAAACGTACCTACATGCATGCATACTTACAATCATACATGCATACATGCACACGTGTATGCATGCACAAGTACATAAATGCATACATGCATAAGGACATACACATACATACATACCTATTTACAGACATGCATGCATGCATCTAGACACATGCATAAGCACGTACACATATGAAAGCCGTCATAGATGCATCTACACATCTGTTTCACATGCATACATACATCCATACATACATACATACATGCATGGATATATATATATATATATATGTGGTCCAGGGCTTGGGCCCCCCCCCCCAATGCTGATGCCATTGCCCCCCCCCCCCGCGCGATGGGCCCCCCGCCCCCCTTGTGGGCGTGGCGTGGTGCTGCGCTGCGGTGCCCCCCTCCCCCACCCTGTGGATGTGGTGTGGTGCTGTGGTGGTTCAGAGGTAGGCGTGGCGTGGTGCTGCGCTGCGGTGCCCCCCTCCCCCCCCCCTGTGGATGTGGTGTGGTGCTGTGGTGGTTCAGAGGTCGTCGTCGTCGTCGTCGTCGTCGCCCTCCTCGTCCTCGTCGTCCTGGTCGTCCTCGTCGTCGTCGTCGTCGTCGTGGTCGTCGTCATCGTCGTCGTCGCCGTCGTCATCGTCGTCATCGTCGTCGTCGCCGCCGCCGCCGGCGTCGTCGCCGCCGCAGCCGTCGTCGTCGTCGTGGTCGTCGTCGTCGTCGTCGTCGCAGTCGTCGTAGTCGTCGCCGTCGTCGTCGTCGTCGTCGTCGCCGTCGTCTCTGGGACCATACCATCTGGGGGGGGTAGGCCCGAGGAATCCTGGGACCATACCATCTGGGGGGGGCCCGGAGCCCGGGACCATATACATACATGCATGCATACACGCATGCATATTCTCATATTTGCAAGCATGCAGACATGCGTACATGCTAACACATCTACATGTATACATATATACATACATACATGCATACATACATACACACATACAGTAATTCAGACATACATCCATACATACATATATATACGAACACACTTACACATATGCATGCATTCATGCACGCACATATACATCAATGTATGCATACATACATACATATAAACAAGCATAAATGTATACATGCATACATGTTTGCATGCGTAATAACATACATGCGTACATGCATATATTCAAACATTGAATCATGTATACGCCTGTACATACATGCATACATACTCACATACACACATACACATACGTACATACATTCATGCATGCATACATACATCTTTACACACATACAAACACACTTCCACACATGCATGCATGTGTATGTGTATATGTGCAACTATATGTACATCCACGCATACATACATACATGTATATTAGCATACACACATACATACATGCATGCATGCATAATTACATACATACATACATACATACATACATACATACATACATACATACATACATACATACATACATACATACACACATATACACATACACACATGCATGAATGCATGCATGCATGCATGCATACATACATACATGCACGTGTGCATACATGCATGAATACACGACGTGCACACAAGCACACACACACACACAAACCTCCCCGGGCACGAGGACCCGGCGCTGGGGTCCTGGGCCCGACAGGGCATATGGGACCAGAAGCCCCAGGGGCCTTGCCGGGGCGCTGGGGGTTATCTAAGATTTCTTGAAGACGGCTCCGCATCGTCAGAAATGGCGCTTTCAGACCGCGACAACGACCATTGACGGCCCGAGATTACCCGAGAATTTGCCACTGGCTGTCCAAGAGGCCTCCAAGACGCCCCAAGAGGCCTCCAAGATGCCTCCCAAGGAGCCCCAGGAGGCACAAATTTGTAATGTCCCGTCGATGTTAAGAGGATTTTCGAGTTCGCGCCTTTTCAGTTTCCCGACGCCCCACGACGGCTCAAGAGGCCGCAATGTCCGCTCCAAGTCAGCCTCAGAGGCCTCGAAGACGGCCCCAAGACGTCCCGAAAGGGCCCCAAGATGGCGCCAGAGGCGCCCAAGACGGCTCGAGTGGGCCCCAAGACGGCTTCAACGGGCCAAGAGGGGTACCACGAACCAAAACCCGAGCCTTCACCCCGAGAGGCTCTCAGGAGGCCCCCTGAGGCTCCCAACAGCCCCCAAGAGGCCCCCAAGAAGCTCCCCACATGGCCCAAGAGGCTCCAAGAGGCCCCCTCGAAAGCCCCAAGAGGCGAAAATCAGTGTTTTCCGGTAGGTTGTTGACTTAGTTTTCAGCCTTCTGGCATTCCGACGCTGTAAGACGGCCTAAGAGGCCTCCAAGACCGCTCCAAGATAGCCGACGAGGCCTGCAAGAGGATCTGGAGACGGCCCACGAGGGCCCCAAGACGGTTGGCAAGGCGCCCCCGGAAGGCGGAAAAATCGTTCCCACATCCCGCGAACCATCCCCGGGAGGCGCGCAACAACCCCAAGACGCACCAAGACATTTTCTTGACGCGTGAAAAGCCCCCAAGACGTCCAAGAGGTTTCAAGAGGCCCCCCGAGAGCGCCCCAAGAGGATCAAATCATCGATGTTCGTTATGTTTTCAATGTTTTTCGCAGTTCTCGCCTTGTTGAACTCCGAGTGTCTCAGGCGGCCCAAGGAACCCCCACGAACGACCCAACAAGGGCCCGAGAGGCGCCCAAGACGTCCCCCAGAGGGCCTCAAGACAGTCCAAGGCGGCCCCAACACAGCTCAAGAGGCGGCTCCAACAGCCCACAGCGGGGGCCCAGAGAGGCAAACTGACCGACAATTCGAGCTTTCCGCCCCGA